AAAAAAAAAAAAAAAAAAAAGGCATGATGCCATATGTGTGCAAACGCAAAAATCTAGGACCGTGTGTTTGGAAGCAGAATAATGCTAAAAATAGATAAAGTGCCTTTGAAGCATTGGGGTCGTGCATCCGTGCTATCTCCTGGTGGGAGGGAAACCCACTTCCTATGAAGCACTCTGGCCCCCTCAACACTCTCTGCAGTGCAGCTTCTATTCCATCGTCCACAGTCATGCCCATCATAGTTATGTCTCCACATATTTAACAATGTCACTGAATAAGGAATAATTCCATTTAAAAAATCCCTCCAGTCCCTTCTTTTTCACTGGTCTCATCTAATTTGAACATTTTTTAATTATTCCTATAACAGTTGTTATTTTTCTTTTGCTTCATATGTTGTTTTTAGGCCACTTTATTCTATCAAAAGCTTCAAACATCACACAAAAATCAGGGTTATTTATCATTAAAAAGGAACAGATGTATTTGTACAGCACTTCTCACTGCTCTGAGTAAGACATGTACAGGAGGTTTAGGAAAAAAATACAGTAAAAAGAAGAAAAACAAAATATTCAGATGAAATAAAAGCTAAAACCACGATCAAATGTAATAAAACAGCCTTTTGAAAAATACACAGACCGACACCCACTATATACACACACACACAAGGTAATCAGGTAATCACACACAGGAGGGAAGAACAGCTGATCCTAATACACAAAGACGACTGGAGGATACAAGCTGAACACAGTGACAACAGACTCAGACCTTCAAAATAAAACAGGAAATCCAGAATGTGAACAAGGCACAATGGGAGGACAGAGACTACCAAAATCAGAATAACTAGAACAGAGGAAAATAATCATAAAACACAAAACGCTGGGTCAACAACCCAGCACCATGACAATGACCATTTTCATAAGTTCTTGTAAAATGAATCTGGGAGACTTTACTTGAAAACATTTAATAATAAGATATGATGTTAATGAAATGCATACATAAGAACCGTTTATGGTTCCCTTTACCACCTTAAATAATCAAATCTTTCAATATATTTAGTTTTTATTGAAATGCACACATAATGCTCATTTTCACAGGGATCGTTTGACTCTATTAAAGTAGCTTTGGTTGCCTAGGTTTTGTTTTCAGACCCTAAATTCATCACCCCTGACAGTGTGTCTTAGCTCTTTAAGACAGCTTTGTTCTTATTAGCTGTCCTCCACAAACAGAAGGTTTAATAATAATAATGGATTGGATTTATATAGCGCTTTTCAAGGCAC